CTGGGTTTAGCCGCCAGTGTCTAGACAAGGGATCATAATAAGGTGGTAATAACTCCACTGAGACTGATGAGTGGTCTGAGAGAGCGCATGTGTTGATCAAACAACCCCGAGTACTGTCAAGGACAGATCTAGAAACAAACATGTAATCAATTCTGGATAAAGAAAAATGGGGATGTGAGAAAAATGTAAAGTCTTTCACATGTGGATTACAAAGTCTCCAGGTATCAAAAAGACCAAGATCTGAGCAGAAGTCCATTGTAGCCTTTGCCATTTTTGAAGGTGGTTGAGATTTTGGTGGATAATCAGTTTCAGGACTCAAACCACAGTTAAAATCCCCACCAATTATTACGTGATTCGGACACACAGAGGAGGTTTTTGCTAGAAGGTTTGAATAAAACAATCTATCAAAAGTATTTGGTGCATAAACACTTGCTAATAGAATTTGCTCCCCATATAAAAGCCCAGTAATCAGAATAAATCGTCCGTCCGTATCCCTTACAATAGTATTTAGAGTGAATGGTAGATTTTTATGGATCAATTTTGCAACGCCTCTACTTTTAGAGTTAAAAGAGGAATAGTAAATTTGTCCCACCCAATCACGCTTGAGTTTTAAGTGTTCAGAATCTGTGAGGTGAGTCTCTTGCAGTAATGCAATCGGCACTCTATCTTTTTTGAGTGAGGAAAGTATTTTGTGTCTCTTAACAACGTGATTAATTCCCTTGACATTGAGAGTTATAATTGTAATGTTACTCATTGTAAAAGTTGTCAGTCATTGGACAAAAATCGTCAACCCAAAGCAAACAAAAGACCTATCATAATGAACTTTTAAACTTTTAACATACTTTTTGATGATTTTTTTTGGATACGAATAAACGGATCTGACTGATCAGACCTCGGCATTTGGCGAAAGTACGCTTGTAGCTCAGAACAAGCATTGGTACTAATTAATAATAACATAACATGTACAATGATGTGGAAATAATACTGTTTTATAGTATTATTATTATTATTATTATTATTATTTATTTATACTATAATTATACTATTTTAGCTCAGGCACACAGATAGATGCAGCTTCAGCTCCTGGATCAGCTTCTTCTCATCAGGATTGGATGGATGTAGAATATCTGTGCCGTACTTTTCTTGTTTAAAAACATCAGGGCCAGGTCATCGTGGCTAGATGTTGACTTCTTTTTTAAATTTTTTAAGGACATATTTCCTGTAACAATGCAATTAGTTCAGTGTGTGTATATACACTGAACACGTATGTATATATGTTACCAAAAATTCATAATTTGCTGTTGCTTTTTCACAGCGCGCTCGGTCTCGGCCTTAGGTCCTCAAAGACTCTTGGCTCAGTTTGGTTCTGCATGATTTCAAACAGAGGCAGCCAATCAGAAGAAAGTTGACGTAAAGAAAGAGGAAGGGAGTTAATTTTACAGTCACACTCGGTCAGGCAGTGGTTGGTCTACGAAGGGTTAAGCAGAAATTCTCTTTCATTATTTACATTCAAAGTTGAACCACAACCTCATAGATTTGAAACACCATTTCCTCCACAATTAATGATGTAATTCAGGAGTGGGGAACTCGAGGGCCGGTGTCCTTAAGGTTTCAGATGTGTCCTTGATCCAGCACAGCTGATTCAAATGGCTAAATGACCTCCTCAGCATGCCTTTAAGTTCTCCAGAGGCCTGGTAATGAACTAATCATTTGATTGAGGTGTTTTGACCCAGGGTGAGATCTAAAACCTGCAGGACACCGGCCCTCGAAGCCTGGAGTTGCCCACCCCTGATGTAGTTGCTGCAGGACATCAGTTTCATGACACTTTTCATAAAGCAATAGAACCAGAATAGAACAAACTGAGTTGAGTCCTCGATTACTAATGTGTCGACAATCTCTCTGCGTTTAAGAATTGGCTGCAGTCGGTTTGAGTCGGACTGTAACTGTAGACAGGTTGGCTTCCACTTTGAGACCTGTGTGCAATCGCCTTGCAATCCGAAGCAGTCCAAGAGGTTGAGCATGCGGTTGAGGGCATGTCTTAGCATGACTATGCGCAATCAATCATTGAATTAAAAAAAGGAATGCAATCATTGGGCAAACTACACATTTTCCTTGTTGCAAGGAGGCTTCTGTCCTATTTTCACTCTTGCTGAGCCATAAGGCAACTTGTTTTAGACAGAGCCGAACCAACACCAAGAACGAGATAAATAAGGATTCATCTTGTTTAGGGCTGCCACAAATGATTATTTTGAAAGTCGACTAGTCACCGATTATTTTTGCGATTAGTCGACTAATCAGATCATCATCCATTGGACGTAAAACATACAGCTTATTGCACCAGCATGCATCTGCTCTTATATAACTATCATTAGCTTACAGCTAGAAGTGTTTAAGGTATGTGCTAACTAAAAATAAAGACAAGATGACAGTTTATTAAATTTTAATGAAATCTGCAGATTGTTTCGGTGAAGTTTAATAAACTCCTTGCTATCTAAAATATAACAGGACACTGGAGTAAATTCTCGAGCATCTCACACTTCTGATAATCAGTTGTCTGCTTGACGTTTATTCAGCTGTGTAAAAACTATAACTTTAATCTCAGCCAAACCGATTTACTCAGGAGCAAATAAAATACTAAAAAAAGCCAAACAATAAAATCTTAAAGTTATCTAAGTGACTTGTATGAGTAGCGAAAGACAGTGGTGGGTTTGAAAACAATTTGGTGTTCTCACGGGCTCTAGTGAGCCTTGCCCCTGGCTATCGAGCTGGTGGGTAACAGACGTCTCCGAAAACATCGGAGCGCTTTTGAAAATATGTGGTGTCTTGATAAACTGAGCAGATATTTGAAGTTCACACAGCTACATTCTCGCCTGAAAATATGTTAAACGTTTATTTTGTGACCCAGAAAGAATAATAAGAGTAATATTAAAACTAACTAGCTGCCGCTATTGTTGCAAACTGAGCTGGGCTGCGCTATGAATTCTGGGACACAGCTTCTTCTTCTTCGGGGTTTAACGGCAGCTGGCATCCTTGTACATGCAGTGCTGCCATCTTCTGTTTCAGTCCGTTATTACACTCTTAAATCCTACTTATTCCTGTGTCTTTTGTGATCTTACAAAGCTTCAAACGACGCGTCGACTATTAAATCAGTCGTCGACGATTTTGATAGTCAACGTAATCGTGACTAGTTGACTAATCGTGGCAGCCCTAATCTTGTTTGGAGCTGGGATCGTGCAGAGCTGCTACAGGGGAGAACAAGAATAAACATATGGAGCCTGAAATGAGCAGAATATGTCAGCTTTTTACATATGAGGAGAATTTCCCCCAACACCTCCTGCATACACCCGTCTCTAATAACAAAAGACTATAAAACTCATTTAAATGTTATCTTTTGCTTTCATTGAAGTTCATGACTTTGCAGGTATGAGTCAGACTCATGTGTCTTCCTTTGTGCTGCAGGGACAGAGCGATCTGTTACGTGGGGCTAAGATGGATTCTCTGGATGCCCTGAGGCAGCTGGCTCTGGCCTGTGAAGCCTGTGGACTCACCTCCTCCTCTTCTTCCTGCAATTCCTCATCCTCCAATTTCTCCACAGCTGAGCTGCACTACTCCTCCCACCCCCTGTCTGGCCGCCGAAGCAGCACACACGGCAACGGACGCATCTGAGACCCACCTGCCCACCACCCCACCACCCGGGTCCAACACACTGCCAAAGATGAAAAGGGATTGAAAATAGTAATTACAGAGGATAGCAGACAGAAAAAGAAAAGAAAAACCTGGACCTGGGTGTGTAAAGCAATAGATTAGACTGGAGGATTTTCTCTATGCTAGAGTGTATTCCTGTATACAGTGCAGTAAATGTGTAGACTAAAGCCTTACGGTGAGTCCAGCCTGCAGAGAGGCTCCTCATGAATGTCTGCCGGTGGAAGAAAGACGTTAAACACAGGAACTTAATTTTCTGACAGCTTAAATCAGCATTTAAAAATCAACAGTTTCTTCCTCATTAATGAGGAAATCAGAGACAACTTAGTAGTTTGTGACACTGGAGCCCCTGATGATGACCGTCATATTACTGGTGTTTCGTTTCAGAGGTGAAGTTTTGGAAAGGAGCGAATGTAGAGCTGTTAGTTTGGCCTGTCCCTTGGGAAGGCAGCAAAATTGCCTGTGTGTGTTGGAAATGGTGGAAAGGTGCAATAACAGACTGAGAAAACCTCACAGGTGGAGAGTTGCTGATTATGTTAGCCTAGAATTTTAGTATTTTAGACGTAGCTGCAGAAATGTTTGCAGCTGCTTAATATTTAAAAGGAAAACTGAGGTTTAATCCAGTTAGGATAACCACCGATCAAGTAGAGTATATACTAACATGACTGACAGTTAGTGTTGTGATCACTAACCTCTGTCCTTTCACCTGAATAGTGGAAGTATCCTTTTTCTGACTCGTTCTCCTTAAAAAGCATAGCAGCGTCTGCCTAATTTCTTCACAGCTTTCGAACAAAATGAGCTTCAGATGGAGAAAAAGGATCTTATCTCAAATATGAAGGCTTATTAATGAGGTTTGAGAGTTTGGAAAGGTTGCAGGTCAAATCAATCCAGCCATTTGTGTAATGTATCGCTTCTTTCCAGACTGCAATCTCTTAACCTCTGTAGGCCTTGTCTGGCCTGTTTGAGGATTAATGCACTTACTAGATGCCCTTGTAACTCCGAGTACACTCACACATTTCCCCTTCTGGTTTGTGCAAAGAAAGCACCAGAAGCTTGCACACACACACACACACACACACAGGTTCTTATTATCTCCACGCAATGGCCTGTGGGGCTGTTGGCATTTGTTGTTTGTTAGTGTGGTAATTGGAGAGGATGTGTATGTAGTACTGCATGTCTGCTGTGTGGATCTTGTTACCGCCTCACTATGCTGACATGTGGTGTAATGAAAGCTCAGAGTCTGTGGAGGAAGAGCGGCTTCCTGCAGTTTGGATGAAGTTGACTACACTGGTGTAGCAATAATTTCAACTAAAGTAATACACAAAGACTGTATAACTCAACAATAGAATGAACTGTGCAACTCAGTCATAAAAGAAATCAACTAAAACACATATGATATGATGTGTGGCAGGGGCTGCTCATGGTTGTGTCAGTGATGGTGTTCTTCTGTGTCTCTGAGCATTAACGTGTGCTTCTTTTTAACACAGGGAAACTTGTTCTTAAACTCTGCTGTTATATCTGTCTCTGGTAATGCTGGGTTTTAACCAAACTGCATAGAAGTGAGGCTCAGCAGCACGTGGGACCAATCTAGCATGACTCCAGAAACTCTCAGCTCAAGCTTTTTACGGGTGACATGTCTTAAAGTGGGCCTGTTCCACTCCAGAACTCTAGTAGAGTGGCTTTCGTGATTTATGGTAAATAAAAATAATCCTTATTTGTCTTATAAAGTTGTTTTACTTCTTCTGACCAGCTGCCCTTTGCAGATTTGGGGCTTCTCTGCTCAAAGAGCTGTGTGCCTCAAATGACCATATTAGGTAAATCCTGTCCTGTCTGATAGCCTGTCATACAGAGCCAAGAGTAGAAAAACTGTGTGAAACAGAGCAGTTAGAAGCAAACGCTTACTCACTCATTTGAATATTTGGCCACGTTTAATAAGAGCAGCCACCGCTGGGACCATAATGACAGAAAATAGGTACCTTTCCAAACAATACTGTTTTCTTAATTTTGTTTGAGATACAATAAAAATCACATCTTAGTTCTGCTGGATTGACTTGTGATTGTAATCCAGTGCCGACCAATTTAAATTCCACCTCCGTGTTTGAAGGAGGAGGCATCTTAACCTAACTTAGGACTAAAAGACATTTTGAATGTTTCTTTTGCCCTTTCAGGAGAGCAGGTACGTGGGCCACGGCTAAATATTGGAGCTTAACAGCCAGTGGCATTTTTAGAGTAGACAAGATATAATGAGAAGCACAGGGTTTACTAACTGACTTAGTCCTGTGCAGACGTGTATGTGCAAAGCTACTGTATCTTCTGAATGAGTCTGCCGTGTTTTGTAATAACCTCCTTCTTACCCCCTACTTCTCTCCATCCTCTTGTTCCTGCTGCACTTCCCGAGACTCCAGGTGGGCAGTGACAGAGCTGGTGTACTGAGTCATAGCCACAGGAGGAAGCTGACCTAATAACATTTCCATGTTTTTCTTTTGGTGTGTGTGAGTCTGTGCGTGCCTGTGAAAGGGCTTCACAAAGTAGAAAACAAATAATTGCGAGAGAGCAAAGGTTGCAGAATAGAAGAAGTGTCTGATATTGGCTGCATGTGTGGGTCGGTGGGCACACCTGCAGAGCTTCGTAATTGGCTGGGAGCAGTAGACGTGGTGACAGCGCCTGCTGTTTGGGTCTATTAATAACACTCTGACTCACTGGAGGATTCAAGATGTGAGTTTGTGCTGGAGCGCTTATGTTTGTCACCATACAACGGTGCCCTAATTCCTGACCCGATGATGCTGGTTTTCGGTCGCTGGTGTTTCGGGTCCTCTGTGGAGGATTACTGCCCCCAAGAGGCAAGTTTGTAAATGCTTTCATAGGGTCATAGGAGGTGTTGACTGCCTAGAGCTCTCCAGGACTGCAGGGAGGATCTCTCTGCATTAATGGTCTGTGAGCTGCAGGTAAACAAACCACAGAACTAGCTTTTCTGTGTTAAGTTAAGCTTATCCTTGGAATAACTCATCATGTGAAAAAGTATTAACATCCCACGGAAATTGTTTTTTTTATATATATATATTTGGACAAGTAAACACTAGATGAGCTTTGAAACAGTGCCTAAAGGCGGGGTGTGAGGAAAAACACAGGGTTTAAAAACGTATTAGGCTGTTTGCTGATGAGTTTGTGCACAGATGTTACTGTCTTAGAGGACTCCACGGTGAAAATTAACGCTTTTTATTCAACATAAAGTATGTAAACCTGCAGGTACTTCGCTACTCTGTGCACAAAACACTTTTGTCTGCTAGCTCATTCCATAACCCTCCATTCCTTCTTTTTTAACCACCCCCTGTTGATTTTCTAGTCTTTACATCATCACCTCATCAAAAGGGCCTCGCATACATTCCAATCAGTCTCTGATCTCACACATAATTAATAGCTGAATCAGTGTCTGGAATCGACAGTCCCTAAGGTAGTGAAGCAACCCCAAACCGATTATTTCCACCTCCATAGTTCTCATGAGGTTCTTCTTCCGAAGCTGCCTTTGGTCATTCCTGATATAATGACTGAGCAACTCAGCCCGTTTTTTTCCGAGCTTCTTTTTCAAACATTAAACACTTTTTGTGGCACCGTTAGTTGCAAGACTTAAAATCCTGGTTTGTCTTTGCATCAAATGGTGTATATAATATCATATCATATAAGTTGGAAAACATATGAAATCAATTGCCAGATTTGTAGACATTCACAACTCTGAGTATGATGGCAAAGTCTTCAGGAGCAAAGAGAACAGCAGAACGATAAAAATGGGAGCTCCTAATGTTATGGACATTAAGTTTTCTATGATGGAACTCACAAAAAACAAAAAGAAAATAATAATTTTAAGTTTTACTTCTTTTAAAATAGGCCCTGTATTATTATTTGTACTGTTTCGCCTTCAAATGTTTGCTTGTCCAAATATATCAAGAAACTTTTATGAAGATCATAAGCTTTTCTGTGACGTAATGAGTTTTATGCTTTATTTATAAAGCTCGTGATCACTGAGCTGATGCATCGAACAAAGGCAGTATGTAAGCCAAGAAAAATGGCTGCTTGATCTTCTTTTTGGAATTCGACCTCTGTGGCGTGTCAGGAATCTGCACCTGAACCCAAACGTGTAGCTGGATGAATCAAAAGAACCAGATCTTTGTTTCTTTTTCTCACTTGATCAAACCCATTTACATCTACAACACCAAAACATATGAGAAATGTTCCAATGAATGTCCTTTAATACCTTCCAGGCAGCTATTGCTTTCATTTGGTATCTGTATGGTATGAAAGTCAGCTTCCAGGTTAAACCAGTTCAGTGAACATCCTGCTCAGGTTTATTTTATCAGTGATATTATTCTACAGATGCAAGCAGACAGAAAACGAGCAATATTTTTATCAACACAACAGAGAAAGTTCCCTTTCTTAAAACCCTATTTGTTCAAGAAGCTACCAAACCAACATCACTACGTACATTGTGATTAATGTGATCAGTGCAACACTGTGCAACAATCAAAACCATCTTGGGACTTCTCAGTAGCACACGGTTTTCTCACAAAAATATTTTCTTTTTTGTTAAAGGTACTTAACAAGTACTTTGTTATTTAAAATTTTTTTTCAAAAAATAACCAAAGCTTTGAGCAGATTTTAAAGAAACAACCTTTCAGTCTTTAACCATCTATTACTGTTGTGTTTACCCGCTGGTAAAATGCTCCCACCTGCTGGTGAAAGCTTGAAGTACATTTAGAAGGGGCTAATTAAAAAAAACTAAATTGTGCTTTTGTTGCGCACAAGTTAATAAAGCTGAGCATGTCGTTCACTGTAGTTTGTTTCAAGCAAGGGGGAGGTCAGTCATGAAGATCTGTAGTCTCTGAATTCAGCTCGCAGAAAGAGTGGCATTATCCTGGGAAGAAAAGCAAACCAACACAAACGCAGGGTTCAGCTAATCCAGCACTCGTACGCTTTGTCTTCACGTCACCTCGTGTGATGATGGCCAATGTCAGATGTTTTGCAGTATTAAAACTTCAGTGTTTACCTCTGCCAAAGTTACTGCAGTCACCATTCAGTACAATGCTTTACATTCAGTGCATTGCATCCCATTGGTAACCCACTTCTGCTCCCGGATCCTTGAAGCTATTTCCCTTTATGACTTCAAAAGTGGGAACACATCCACGGAAAGATTTCTCTCTCACTGTGATTCAATATTTAAGCAGAATTCTGGTTTGTTTCAGATATTTCCCATTATTGTGCCAATTGCTGCTCCATGAATCGTGCTTACTCTGCCCTCCCCTCCACTGTAATGATTCAGTACAAAACAATATCAACAAAAAGTGTTCTTACTTGAGTCTGTCTGATTGAAACACAATAATGGGAAATATGCAAGGTTAAAATAAGCCACCATTCACCCATAAGGTGTCAGTTTGAGGTGTGGGAGTGGTAGACTAGCCATGTAAAAGATGGGTACTGCAATGTACCTGTTAATCCATGTGTCTTAACTTAAAGCTAACCCTCCCTGTACTCTTCAGCGTGTGTGATGCTACCAGTGGTCAAATAGCGCTTAACGTTCATGTGAATAATCGGAGAGTTGTTTATACCTGCCGTAGTGACGTGGACAAACATGTGAAACACTTGGAAATGTGTAAAGGTGTTTTAGGTTTTGTAGGCTAATATCTGTGGCATCTACAATGTGTGTATTGGCCTGTATCTGCACCACTGACCTTTTAAACCAGTGCAGTTCCCTCAACTGTTCTCATAGTCCATTGTATGTTTTTGTAAAGCTGACAGGAGAAATAAAGACCAAAAGAAGAAAAAATATTTATTGAAGTGTGTTTTAAAGCTATAAATATATATAATTAATTAAATGGACCTTGCTTTTATTTTGAAAAGCTACTGTGTTTTCTATCTGACTAATAATCAAATATAACAGTATGTATCCCAGCTAAATAAAGACTTCTTTTCCTGACCAAATCTTCTGGTCGTGTCTACTTGATCTCATCCTGCTGTAGGTATGTTTACAACATATGCACCTCTAACATATAACTGTCATAGGGCTTGGCGTGGTGTCATGCAAGTCTTTTCTAATGCTGTAAAGACGGGACGGCTCCAGAGGTTTCTCCTTGGATTATACTTGCTTGCTGGTACGCACACAGACAAACACCATGGCTGTAAGATGGAAATGTAGTTTCTGACAGATTTAAAGACAGGTTAGCAGCAAAACACCAGATTTAATGAATTAGTAAAATCAGTGAAGATGTGGCAGGTGATTGGTGATTGGTGT